TTGCAACGTCGGCGAGCTTGTTGCATTCTACACAGGGAGCTGAACCCCGCATATATTTGTGAACACTGCATTTCATCTCGGATAATGGGTTACACCAAGTCGTCGTTAGCTGGAAGGAATTGACGCGGTGCGTGGCCATACTTATCAGGAGGTGTGAAGGGAATATCCTTCCAAAATCCTGTGAAGCCTGGAATGTTCTGGTCCACAGTAAGAAAGGCGGTGCGCCATCTTCCGTCAATCACTATACCTGCGGCATCTTTCCGGGGGGTATGGCAGAGACTATGTATATGGCCATCTTGAAGACGTCGCTGATGTTGATTGTTTCGAAGCGTAACAGCACGTTCGCGTTTTTTTCGAGGGCCTGCATCTGTGTGGACAGAGGGTGACGCACAGATCCCTTAGGGCCTCATTACATGTGATCCTCCATCCATTCGTAGCGAAGTAAGTCACAAGGATCCGAAGCATAGAGTATTCCACCTTGGTAGAGAAAGCACAGTTGGAAAGAAGCTGTTTGGCCGCTAGCGGTAGAGTGCGGAATACTGAGGTTGGCGCGGACGCGAGGGAAGATTCACAAGTGGAATTGGATACTGCTGGTTGATCCTGTCCCGCAATGGCCGTGTGGCATGTGGGATGTGGGTGTCAACGTCCAGGAAGAGGGCGGAAGCGCCAGAGATCCAGCTGAAGAATCGTTAGCGAAATCAATGGTAGGCGATTGCACCTGGGAGCGTACTGTTGCCTCTGAAACCAACACTGCAAATGAGTGAGGCGAGGTTGCAAAAAACGATCGTGGCAGTGGGAGAAGGTATGAGGAAACGCCGATCATTGTCGGATGAAAGGATGGTCACCGCAGAATTGACTTCACATGCTTCTCGAGGGACTTGTAGAGACGAATCCATATTAATAGTTAATGTGAACTGAGATTGATGGGATTCATCGGGCGTTACGGTTAGGAAGGAGACGCTCTTATGGATCAGCGATATGTAAAGTATGTGACATGAGTGATTGAATGTCTGTGAAGTTTATCATGTTTGTGGTTAACTAAGAGGAACGCTTTCCACAGAGCACAGGCCACACAAGTATGTATAAGATTAGGATAAGACTAATGCCTGAGAGTTAAAAACGTTGAGATCAACGAGAGAGCAAAAACAGGGATAAAACAAAGCAAGCGGAATCACCTAATACACCATTGTGAATACGGCTAATGGCGACTTTAAAAGAGATATGGAAATTTCCTCCTAACGGTGTGTATTCACTTGGAATACAGACAGTGCTACGCGTAGCGTAAAGTGGAGAAAATGGAGGCACGTAAGGAAAATTTTTTATACTATCTTGAACTCTATCTGGAGCCGTAAATAGCCTCTTAGTATACCATCGGTAGCTCGCTAGCGCCGTTGCATACACATAGTACAATTGATAAGTCAATCGCCACCTATCGGTGCCCTGCATTTACGTGTTACTATGACTACGGAGCTATATTTCTTACCCAAAAGGAACATCATTTGGAGCGAATTAATATCAAGGGTTAATCCTAAGTAAAAACACATATTCCGAAAACAAAAGATGTCACATAAAAAAACGGATAACAAGGTAAATAAGTAAACATAAAATACCTACATCCGCCTTCGCGATCCTGGTTCTGAAGCTCAACAAATATGTGAGCTTCAAAACACAAAATAGGCACCTATGAATATCGCTCAAGCTGAAAACATGCGAAAAAATGCTCCCTATAGAAGAAACCTATCATAGGAGACTCGTCTGGAGTAAAAACCACAAAAATGAAACTTACAATAATATCCCTTTAAATACATGGTTAAATTACACTCAAATGAAAGAGCACAAAAAACTACATAATATGTATGCAAAATGAAGGATGAGTGGCTCGAGCTCTACAGAGACGGCCATTAGTCGAAGGATTCATATCATAGTTAAAAATGTTTTGCACACTTTCCACAAAAACTGTTGAAAATACTTCCAAAGTTTTTCCATTGGGTTATGCAGCACACAAAGAGAAATCGAATGGTACATAATAATCCACAATTCGTGACGACTTCACGTAGAAAAGATAACAAAAATCCGAGCTCCGGTTTTGCGTCCACTTCTCGGTTCGTGCAAGATTGCTTGCTCCTTTTGCCTCTGTACACTAGTAGCACAAGGGCATCCTTCAGATAGGCCGGCCCTCCTTCAAACCACCTGCGTTGCACCATGTGGCGCAGCGCATTTACCAATGCGGGTCCGCCCTGTTTCAATACTTTAGGCGTTAACCCGTCGGAACCGGCACACTTGCTGTTTCGCAGCTGAGCAAGCGCTCTCTGCGTCTTATCCACTGTCACTATGTCCGCCAGTCACGTTTCCATCTCTTTTTGTTGCAGACGTGCAACACATTCCAGTCTGTCTCTAAACTATTGTTCAGGAGACAATCAATGTTCTTTCGTCGGATCTGCATTATGTCTGCAGTCTGTGTACAGGCATCGCCTGAAATACGATCAGGCAGCGTCCTCAGCGGCTGCAACGGTGGTCCATACATCGTCTTCACGAATTCCTTATGTTAGCGGCATTCGGTGTGGCATTCCATCTGTTTCGCCTTCTTCGTCCCCATTCTTGATGCGGCAAATCTCTCGTGTCTTGCGCCGTCGAACTTCGCGAACTTGACTCTTCTTCGCTGCATCGGCAGGGTCATTACACTCAGCTCCACGCAGTACACGTGTCATGCGCACTTCACGTATCTCGCACTGTCGTACGATGACAGGGTCGAGCACGTGAGCCTGACGAATCCGTGGGTGCGTCCAAGTAGCTAGAGTACTCGCACACAGTGCTAACTGTGTTCGTGCTCCTCAGGCCGTGAGTGGCTCACAGTGCGAGCAGTCTCTCACCGTTCCCATTGGCTGTGCTAATGCCAAATGAACCGATTACGTCTGTCAACACCGAGTCATCATGTCCAACGCGCGCGTTAAATTCATCCAATAAAAGTAATCAACCCCTTTTCCGCACAGACCGTATCACAGAGTAGAACCGTGTGTAGAATTGAGCACGCGTGTCATCAGGATAACACATGGTGGTACCATAGTGCTTATAAAAGTGGCGAACTTATCTCTCCCATGTCGCAGGCGGAGAGTCACTAGTCGTGGGCTGATACCAGTCGGCTCTGCCGTAAGCTGGCCATTTAGGTGGGCGGATAATACAAATCCGACCCCATGTTCACGTGGTGCTGAGGTGGTGTTCCTCGTCCAGTATAACGTGTAACCATCAGCAGCTTCATGCAGTTTCTTTGGTCAGCGAGCTGGGTCTCGCCGAGTGCAGCAATGTCGATGCTGTATCGCGCGAGTTCCTTCGCGACCACTGCAATTTGTCATTCGTATTCCTGTAGAGCAATTTGCACACTTTTTAGCTCCTGATGTTCAGCGCTTTGAGCAGAGGCATACAAATGCGTGCGCGGGCAATCGTATGGCTGGTGACGACTTGGATTAGAGGAAGTAGCGAGTTAGGTGAAACGGGGACGGGGATAGTATGTGCAGAGGAAGAAGAAAGTAGGGAGGTGCCAGCAGTAGCATGTTCTTGTAAGCAAGAACCCGGCTATATGCAGCAGATAAGGCTACCCTTTTCCTAAGACCACTGCGCGTCGGCCGATGCAGCATAGATTTATTATTATTGGCGTAATTCATAGTTTGCGTGTTGGACTAAGGTACTGCTAATGCGTCCACACCTGACAGAACGGCTCGGGTCTTCAGCCAATGCCTTCGATAAAATATACACCCGAAAGGCATCGGGCCGTGCGCCATGAGTCAGTGATCCGACGCACGCGAAAATGTGTGTCCTGAATCTTAGCCAGAAGTGGGGTGTAACCCAATTTCTACTCAACGATGGTCACAAGTGGGCGTTCAGGACATGAGCCCACAGCACAGCTATGGGAGCAGCTGGTCCACTATCTGTCAGGATCTCGCTACCGCCATCCTCAGAGCACTATTTGCTCTCCCGCCCATATATATCGAGACTAGAGTCAATGTTTCGCTTGCGTCGAGACTTTCCAGGCCATAACTCTCAGCCGACGTCGTGGCGCGTTTGATCTCGCATTCTAACCGGATTTCCCGTGTAAGGTATCTACATAGGTGGGGGCGACATTTTAGTATCCGTGGCGGCACGCGACTGATGGTGCTCGCGTCTTTACCGTGCACCAGCGTGCTGCCGATACCTTGATTTTCTTTCGTCGCACTGTATCTGTGTGCTTGACAGTTAGTAGGTGCCTTGGCCCTTAGTACTTCTTTGGGGCCCTTAGGCTTTGCACTTGATTAGCTCTGCTTACTAAGGTAACCATGGATGCATTTAAGCGAATCATCAGTTCAACTTTCTGATATATTTCTGTTATGGACAATAGTTTACGCGGTGCTGATGCCCCACACCAGCCAGATTGAGCTTATAACCCACAATTGTTGTCTCCACACCATACCATCCCTAACCTGCGATTGTGAGGTTAAGAGCGAGTTTGTCTAATACATAACTGTTGGCTTGATGAGTATGGACGGCGCTTCCCGGCATTATTAGGACAAACAGACGCAATAAAATTATCACACCGCCTTCGTCCTGATGAATATCGTTTACGATGCACTATCGATTTGCGGCGATCTTTTACATACGTTATCTTGGTTGTTGTAGTCATGTGAAGCGTGTCTTTGCGAAGGTGTCAATCCAGTTGCAGGATATGTGCGACGGAGATGGTCCTCATCTTCCCGTTGTTTGTGTATCAGACGTTTGATGCCACCCTTTTAGTGGTACGTTTTTGGATTTTCGGTTTCACCGCGCTTATGACCATTTTTGTTCGGGAACTAGACCGGGTTGTTCGAAACGGTGACTATCATGCAGCGAACATATGGTACAATCACTTGCATGTGTAATTCACTCAAACGCTGATCTTTTATGTTCATGTACAAACACAAGTCTTGCACTTTTTGCGTGTCCTATTTCTATGACCATTTACTTTTGCGTTTTTTTTACATCGTTGTGCATAGTTGGCACTGTTTGTGCTGCGACTGCCACAAAATATTCCGCCAAGACCCTTATCATGCCGTTGGGTCCTTCGGCGAAAACATTGGCGGAGGCTTCCACAGAGGTTAACCTCGCATCTATACCGGAGGGCAAAAATCTGGTGGTAAAGTGGCGTAACAGGCCGCTGTTCGTACGTCATAGAACAGCTGAAGAAATCAGTCGAGAGCGTGCTGTTTCTCTGGACGAATTGAGGGATCCGGAACCGGATGAGAAGCGTGTCCAACGTGACGAATGGCTGGTTTGCGTGGGAGTGTGCACGCATCTTGGTAAGTGGCCTTCATTATTTGTCACGTTACTTCTTACTAGGCCTTTCTAGTCGTTCATCCGTTGAACCGGTTACAACTTAAGGCTTGCCTGTGTTTTTCAGGCATTCCTGTTTGCGTTGTCAAGGTTTTGCTTTATGTCATCCTGTTTTGCAAGTGATTTGTTTATTCGATCATTTGATTACAACATTTTGGCATCAAAACGGGACAAGACCTACACCTGGCATGTTGGTTTGCCTTCCTCCATGATACATTAAGCAGATACACTGGCTGACATATATCAAGCATCTTCTTAGCAGCTCTCGATCTCAATATTTTTTCGGATTTAAAGGGAGCTAAGGTCTTTCCTTCCGCAAAACTCACTCATGCGAAACCAACGTTTTGGATAGGTTCGGCTTCGTCAGATAGCAATCACCACTTCCTCTCTTCCATTTAGAGAACACTACCATAGATGTACTAGCTTTCTGCCACTTACTCATAAGTCCATCTAACCAGTGTAGCTCAAAATGTTGCCCATACGCCACACGAATAGTCCTGAATAATCCAACGCGGCCTGTGACTGGTCTCATAGCGCTTTACACTTGACTTTCCGGTTATGCTTTTGAGACGTAACTGCCCCTCACTGTCTTTTGAGTCAAGTAGTTGCGCCAACGGCTTTGGACTCAGTTGCCCAAACTCACCCATTTACTCTGCTGCCCAGATGGTCAGATTATGAAGGCTTAAACCCTATTACGTAATTCCCTATCGAATGAATGACTGGGAAGTGTAATCCATCCTTAGGTTTGTTTTTCCACTTCTCTTCATTCTACATTTTTCGTTCCTTTCGTTTTTTATTCCCTGCTCAATCCCTAAGAAACTGCAACTGACGTCACTGTCTAAAGTATTTCCCGCATTTGCGTTTTCCTTTTGTACAGTGTTTCAATGTCTGCACTCCGTGTTAAATCGGTCAGCTAGCAACTAGTCCTCATCCGGCACGCCATTGAGCTCGGTGTGTGCTGTGGTTCCGAGGCGCATGAATCTACTCTTGGCGCTGTAACCAATCTATGATTTTACTAGCCGAGTTCCATTGACACGCAGTTAATAAGTTTTGCTGTTTTGTCAGGGTGCGTTGCAACCAAACTATCAGATAGTCATTGCACATCAAGAAAAGCTCTCACCCTATTTTCCTTCTATTGGTACTGACAGAGAGTAAAATCTCCCTGGAAAATTCCTTAATTCAGTGGGAAACGATTCGAACCAGTGATGTACAAGAGAAACATCAAGAGGTTTCAGGAATGCCCGCATCAGGAACATTCCGGTCTACACGATGCACGTACCTACCTCCCCAGTGGATACAAAACTGAACTGCCAAGCAGGGCAGCTGACCTGGCTGTTCTGAAATGCAAACATTCCTAGATAGGCCAACGATTGTTCACTGATTTCCACACTACTTGTGCCCGTTTCAGTAGCTGGTTCCGCAACACGCTTTTGCCTCCAAGCCTTGACTTCTGATCATCGACTGGGGTTCGGAGCTAGCAGAGAACGAATTCAATTCGATCAGAATCGCAGACATAGGTAGACCACAACCGGGACTCGTCGGTAGCGCACATTCACCGGATCCTACTGGATTCAAACCCACAACTTCCCTCTTACAGGTCAGTGACCTGAGCCACTGGGTGATGGCGGCTGACCTGTTACTGCTGTTTACTAACTCCGATATTACCCAGCTCATCCTCCACTGTCATCTAATTTGTGAACATGCAGAGGATAGGGTTGGTCCCCATAGCTGCAACTACCTTTGCAACCCGCCACCAATCGAGGTGGCGTGTAGGCTGCTAATACGATTTGTGATGATTAGAGAGTAGTAGGGGGTTATTGTATTTTTTGAGTAGGATCATCTCGGCTAGACCGCACAATTGGAAAAGCATCATACGACCGTTTCGTCTTTACGAATCCTCTGTAGTGCGCATTGACAGGATCCAGGATTCAAGCCAATAACTCCTTTCTTACACCTCAGTGACCTGTCATGAGGTACGACGGCGGATCGCCATTGTAGATTACTGATTGCTATGTGGGACTGTCTATCATTAGCTACCATGTACGTTTTGAGCTTGCAGAAGACAAAACGTTCCCCCAGAAATACAAATTTTTTCGCAGGCCGCTGCAACTCTAGGTGTAAGCTGGTCGGATGACCACTGATTGTTGGCGAGTATCACGGGAACTTGTCCTTTTTGAGGTATATTACAGCCACACTTAACCGAACAATCACCACGCATTTAATAAAGCGGCTATTTTGTCCCATTAGGGCTCATCAACAGCGCATATCAGTTGGATCAGAACTCATGACTATGGTTGTGTCTTGCTTCGACAACCCATCAGTTGTCGGTTTCGCTGTCGCACCCAACGAATGCCTGGTGATCACTTCACTTGGATCCTGATTATTCGCTGTATGTCTGCCACGCGGTTTCAATCTGTGTCAGAGCCATTATAGAACCTCAGGGACGAACGGGGTTTTCTGTTGCTCCCTGCACTGTATCACTGGTGCAACACAGAAATTGGCAAACACGAATTTACTCAGCAACTGACATTCATCATTTGTATAACGTGAAACACGGATGTTGCAATCATTACTGACGATATGATTGTCCAGATGGCAACCGCAACACGTATTTTGCACCCTTCATTTCCTTTATTATACATGGTAAGCAATCATTTGGTTCCGTAGTACCCAGGAACTTAACGCGTTTCCAATATGTGCTGGGTGTGGTCCCCAGTTACCAGACTTCTTCCTTACATCTGTTGTCACCTTCCGCGTCACATCTGCTACATGCGTACTCTACCTCCTGTAATTTTACTTTGGCTTACAGGTGACCAAAGCCTGTCTGGTTGGGTTGGTTCAGGTTGTGTTAGGTATCAGTTTTGAATAGACTCATAGGTTGTCCTTCGTTTCCTTATTGATCTGCTGGCGAATCCTAATTGATATCGTTCGAACCGTTTCATTGTGCCCTCAAATTGAAAAGCTTGCCTTGTCGTACCCAATTGTAAATTCACTTGTGTGTTACGTTAACTTTGTCGGGCCATTTTAGTCCTTGGCTCTCTATTCTCTTCCGTCCCAGAATATTACGGTCTCGGCCGTCTCCCGCTCTTCCCAGTTGGTGTCTCCCACTACTTTACGTAGTACGAGTACCGTCCTACATCGTCATGGGAATTGTCACTCGCAGCTGACACGAGTAGCTCAGGCCACGGAATTTCTTTGTTTCGTCTACCTTCATGAACATGAACTACATTACTTTTTGGCGCAGAGTAGATTGCCCAAGCGAATGCTCGCTTTGATTGCAGTCCGATTAGTGTCTGTGGCGTTTTCTGCCTTAACGGTTTCCCCACGCTTATAATATATTCTTTTGGAATGGTCGTGGACAGTGGCCGATCGATTGGCGATGACGCACACAGACCACTTCATCATGCGGGGATTTCACTCATCTACACTGATAGATTAGTTGATATTATTTTAACTATTTATTTATTTATTCACATTGCTTACGCATTTTCCAACATACCATTCGGTGCAGCGTAGATATTGTCGTTTCTTTTGTCTCCCCATATTTTTCCTCGGGACACTTTTTATTCGTTATAGTGTCATCTAACTCAATGGACTTACCCTGATTCTTTATCTTGACATTTTCGCACCATTCAAATTTAGCTTTTTGAATTAAATTCTTATGTTTGGCTACATCGTAATATTCTACTCATGAGCAGCATCACATCGGCAGCCAAGGACCATGTCTCATATTTCGCAGACCAGTTTCGAATATTTCCTCTTCGCTGACTCTCTAGGGGCTTGGTGCCACAAATATAGGGTACGCCTTCTAGCATAACTGATCAAACGGTGTTCCCTTTTGTGAATGTGGTGTTGTTATTACCAGTGAATGCCTCACCGTTGTCCGCCAGCGCGACCAACTGTATTCTACCCCTTGTGTATCTATCACTGTCAGCTTTAACAAAAAATGGGGAACCTATGATACAGTGATACATGAGTTTGGTCTGCAACCTCCAATATCCGCCTTTTAGTTCCCTCTCCAGAACGGGCTTAGGTACCTTTGTAATATCCCGACCCGCTTGACACTGCGAAACATCCTCATTAAGTGCGGATGTGCTGTTCGTTGTTGTCACACCGAAAGAAGCAACCGCTGCGCTGTATTTCATTAGCTGGGATGCGCACAGTGACTCGTATGCTACAAACTCCTGCTTCGTTGTTCACTTAGTAGCGTTAGTACTAGTGTCAGTTTTGCACTTTTGTTATAGAGATAAAGCTACGTTTTTCAGTATGCAAACACTGCGGCTCCTCGTTTGTTGTAGGCTGTTCCTCTGGAATTTTCGGGATGTGTTGCGTGGGAAACTCATGCTATGGGCTCTTTACAATCCTGATGCACTTCGCCAAGGAACTGGTGATGTTGCTTCTCATGAGAGCACTATCAACTTCAGGCCAGGAGCAGGGCAACATCATTGACGTGGGACGACTATGCGGTCCACATTTGCGTGTCTGCTCTGCTACTAAGCCAGTACACCTACCGTTGACTTACCAAACCTTGGTCGTGCGTCTGAGTTATTTCGTTTTTCAATGCCATTGTTCTCCCCACGCACGTTTTAATCCTGTGTCCACATTTATTTATCCTCCCCTGTTTTCTTTCCTACTTTAAATTACAACGAAGTTATTCATTACACTGCGTTATTGATACAAACCTATTCATTGTCATCTCTTGTTTACTCCACAGGGTGCGTTCCTATAGCCAACGCTGGTGACTTCCCCGGTGGTTTCTACTGCCCATGCCACGGAAGTCATTATGATGCCTCTGGTCGGGCACGCAAAGGTCCTGCTCCGTTAAACCTCGAAATTCCTCCTTACAAGTTCTTGGATGACTCTACCATTGTGGTCGGTTAACGGCCAATCTGCCTGCATGTCTGTTGAAGGGAACAGTATTCGTCGTACAGTTTGCTGGATATTTTGTGGTCATCCCTAAAACTTCCACCCCACTGAGTGTATTTCGTAGTTCATTTCAGAATTTGCTGTCTCAGACTCTCTTCTTACTCCTTTCTTTCATCCAGCGAACTTCTGGTAACGTGTGTTACCTTTACGCTTTATGAATAGCACTGGTCAACTTAGCGTTGTTGAACCAGTTTCTTTTTATTTCGACCTCAAGAGTCACTTTTCTATGTGTTCTCTATTTTCCCCCAAACTTTGGTGCTTTATCTAGGTGAAACCTACAGTTTGCTCGGGAAGGGGAGGCTTCACTATGTGAACCACAGGCTTTTTCGGTTTTCCGCACTTTACTCTCTCGCAAGAGAAATTAATCTCGTCCTAGTCATCCCCAAACTGAACCATTTGCACGCAGTCCTGGTCCGTGCAAGCATTCACACAGTGTATTACCCGTTCCTTGAGCCATCTAGCTACTTGTCATGCTTGTGCTTCGTACGACCCGAATTACTCGCTTTGGGAAAAACTCCCTAGCCTCCTCCGATGTGACCAACATCAATGCTTCTGTGGTGTTAGTGGAACGGACTTGGCTTATGCGTAAGATGCATTTCAGCTTTTCCCGTATGAGCACAAATGCATCATGATTCATACGCTGGGTCACTTTTGTCAGTGCATCACCTGGTTGCCAAGCATCCAGAGAGTTCACTTGGCTTTGTTGCCTTGTGGCAACTGCTCGTGTTTCAATTTTGTGGTCATACGAAGCCCCGGACTACGGCAACTGCATGTCATTGTGTGGATTTTTTTTCTACATTCGTTTGTCTCGTTAGCTCGCTGCTTGAGAGGACGTCTTCATTGCTCCTCGAGTTGTTGTTGTTATCATCATCAAATCGGCTTTGCCTAGAGGCAGATTGATGCGGGTGTTAGGAATCCGATTCTCGACGTGGTTTCACCGGCTTACCCCCACCGTCATTATTATCGTACAATATTGCGAATTACAGATCTTGAAATGGCACTTGGGAACAGTGCGTACAGTGTGTTTGCGGTCATTTTCGTGAGGATACGAGACTGCCGAGTTATATCGCACATTGGTTCCCCGGAAACCCAGATCTTTGGATATCATACTAGTTTTCAGGTCCATGCGCGATGTGTACGATAGCTGGTCTATTTGAGCACCACCAGCCGTCTTTTCTGATTTGGAGCATGCTTTGAATGCAATTTATCATACCTGTTTGTTTGCATACTAATCATTAGAAAAAGAAGGACCCTACTGAGTTTATGGTGGTAGCTGGGGAGCAAGCAACAACGAATGTAGGCCGACCTCTTGTTTGCTCGCATCGATAGCCCCAAATCGATGACACCGAGTAGATGATTGATCTGAAATGCCGAAAACAGAGCTCAGGTGAATGCCAATAGAGGAACGATAGGATAGAATTTGCCGATTTACGAGTGACTGATTGATACGATGTATAAAATGAGCATGTTTGTTTGGACAAACGAATTTCGATCGAGGCCCTACTGGGTACTTGATACACGGTGGGCCATTACGACAAATTTCACCGTCTGTACCGTCACCTCAGTAGTCTCCGTTGTTTATAGGAATCACCTTGTGCTCACTACGATATGTGAGAAGTATCGAGGTCACTTTAACTCTCCACTTCTATGTAACTTTGTGATCGAATTGCTTACTAATGCCTTGTCTCTAATGGAATTCTCACTGCATCACGAAACTAATGCGCCATTGTTTATCACGATTATTGGAACGCCACTTGCGAAAACGTCTACCGGTTACGCATCCTAGTATCATTACTATCGTAGTTTGGTGAGGTTCCAAATGTTACTTCGTGTATCAGCATGGCTCATTTTTTACTGCTTTGATCATCTGATATTGCGGCGTGACAATAATTTTTCGATTCAGGTCAATGTGTAACACTATTGGGGGTCTGCTCCGTCGTATGTGTCATATTGCGTAAAGCGGTTTTGCACTCCCATCCACTGGTGTCCACCATGTATGTGGTAATACTCAGATTTATGTTGGCGTTCGTAGGTTTGGATTTAGCTTCATAATTAACAGTTTTAAGCCTTCGACAGTATCGCCATGTTACCAATAAAGCGCGACAAGAGTAGTTTCGCCTCAGGAGGGCACTGAGTAACACTAAAGTGGAAGTATTCTTGCCGTTATATAAAGCAGTGGTTAGGCCACATCTCTAGTACTTTGTTCAGGCTTGAGCACCGTATCTCCGTGGTGACGCCATGTGTATAGGAAATATTCAGAAACTTGCGACAAGGATGATCGAAGGATAGAGACGTTTAAGATCATTAAGGACCTCAGTGGTATCAGTCCTACTCATCAGTTTAAGTTAACTACGTCGGAGTACCTGCGCGGGCATTGCATGAAACTCAAACAACACAGGGGTCGTTTGGACATAATGGCGAAATTTTTAACAGACCCAGTAGTTAACATCTGGAATAAACTTCCTTCTGATTTAGTGGAGTGTTAGATTCGACGCCTAAGGTAAGTGTTGGTCTGGCCTTTTTCCTGAGATATTCCGTGAAAGTGCAAAGCTTGCTCTTGTTCTTGCTTCATTCTTTTGCAAATGCAAGGAGAGTTACTCCAACGTCTAAGTACCGTGGACTGTTTTTCATTTACCGGCACAAGGAACAGGACACTAGTTAGGCTAAAGCCGAGGTACCTTGCCTTATATATATATATATATATATATATATATATATATATATATATATATATATATATATATAACGTTTCTTGTGCCATTGATAAGTCGATTCCCTCTGGTGTGCTCTGTCCATCTGGGTTGACCGTGCTGCAGACACTTCGAAACCGACCGAGAGGCTGAGCCTCACAGGCACTTGTCGTCCCCGCTTGTATCACCAGACCCGTCGGTGATGAGAGCAATCTCGCTCTGCGTGGCGCATCTGCATGAACGTTAACGTTCTATACGTTACTTGGTTGACTGTCATCAGGTCCTTTGTTAGGATTTCTACTGACTATTTGGCTTGTTCCCCTATTGGTGACAGTTTAACTTCTTACGTTTGCAACATTTGGTTGTTGAATTTCGGCTCGAACGAACGTTTGCCCTTATCTTACCATGCAAACTCCGGCCTTCGAAGCAATTCTCAGAAGCACGTCTTAGGTTTGGATGATCTCCTTCCTTGTTGTTTTATTCTGTGCACTCATTCACGCTCCGAGCAATGTTCGGCTTGAGGTGCTAGCGTTGTCCCATCAGACTGATGTCGTCTTTTGACTTTTTCGATTAGCCCAGAACTGCACACTGTTGCTTGTGTTTCACTGAACTCGAGATGAAGAATGACCTTTCAACACTGCTTGCTGACTTTATTTAACTCGTTATATCTTTTTCCTTGACTGTTTGATTTCGCTAACAGCATGCACATGCTGCGTACAGCTCCAAAGTAGCACTACTTACACTATACGACACAGTGGCCTCTAAGCACACTGTCCATGCCTACGTAATTAAACATGGACGAAAACGTGAAAAATATACACGGAAACCCTCGAAAACCACCATAGCATGTTTTCCTTGCAGGCAATTATATGACTCTTTGTAATTAGACCATGGCTAAAAGACCTCAGTGTGTCGTTTTCTGACGCCAGTTGGTCAACGTAACCACTGTGTAAGTAAAATTCTCAAAATTATTTAACTTTAAGCGATTGTGAATGTTGTCCCGAAACTACATGAGTCTGGCCTAAATGGGTAAGCCAGGACAGCACAATGTCCATTTAACAGGAATGAGCTTGTAAACACCATCAATTTATTAGACAAATTTCGCAAGATTTCTCAGTTTTAGCTCATTTTATGCATCCCTATACATGGACCCCCACTGCCAGTAAGTTATATACACCTTTCGTCAAGAATAAAGAAATGCGCATCCAACAAATGGCGAAATGCTTCTAAACGTGTAATTCGCTAGAGTAGTGCGTAGGGCTGCAAGAACTTTGGTTTCAAAGCTTAAGGTTTTCCAGATGTAGTGCATTATTGTGTCCCATGTATTGGGACGCTCTACTGTGCAACTGTTTGCTCTTTATGAATGTTCTCTCTCCAAATTTGGTGGTGCAGTATATGTGACCTCGATGTAAAATAAGGTTTGAATGTCACACAAGCTATCACATCGGTGAATGTTCTGGTGAGCGCTATTCTAGTTCACCAGTCAGCATAAATGAACAATAGTACAAATCAGGAACAGCAAACTACGCAGGAAATGGGAGCTGGTTGTTCACCCACCTCTACCCATGATGCAGGGTGGGCAGTGGAGCCAGTTAAAAGACACATTTTAAACAGATGACCAAGCTAAGGCAAGAACTGGTTCGACATAGCTGGATTTCCAGCTAGCCTATTTGACAGAGGTCTCTGGCACATGGATAGCTTTCGTGCCAGTGTCAGAGAACATGAAATATTAAGTGTTAGGGTGGCATGAGTGGCGATCAGAAATGGATCTCTTTTATCACGCCGCCAGTGTACCAGTGTTTCCAATAATGATTGGCGAATGTTCAGCTCATATAAAAGCTAAGAAATATGGGGCCAAGAGAGGATGAATTGGAGTGCAAATTATCTGGGTTAAGAGACAGTGACTCAACTGAAGGTGGTCATAATATTACCTTTGGTTCAGAAACTTCGTATCAACCTAGTTTTGTCCATTCTTCATAGATTTAGGCTGGGACAATGCATGCTTTCAGTAACGGCACCATCGCGATACTAACATCCACTACGAGGATAAGGGCTAGTGGGGTTCCCTAGTAGCTAGATCTGTAATGTTGTTACTAGCAACCATATTCGCAGAGCCACTGTTTGAACAATTAAAGCAGTAATAAGGGATATATTGATGACTAATGAAGGGAGTTGAAGATATGGTTGAGGCCATAAGTGTGGGATTAAAAGAGTAGAGTTGCGTTGAATAATACCGATGGGTTCAGTTGGGCTCTGATAAGAGCA